AAGAAGAAGAAGAAGAAGAAGAAGAAGAAGAAGAAGAAAGAAGGAGAAAAAAAGGAGAAAAGAAGAAGAAGAAGAAGAAGAAGAAGAAGAAGAAGATATAGAAGATTATCAGAATGAAGGGCGGGGAAAGAAGAAGAAGAAGAAGAAGAAGAAGAAGAAGAAGATGAATTATCAGAATGAAGGGCGGAACAGAAGAAGAAGAAGAAGAAGAAGAAGAAGAAGATATAGATGATTATCAGAATGAAGGCGGGGAACAGAAGAAGAAGAAGAAGAAGAAGAAGAAGAAGAAGCATATAGATGATTATCAGAATGAAAGGTGGGAACAGAAGAAGAAGAAGAAGAAGAAGAAGCATATAGATGAATATCAGAATGAAGGGCGGGAACAGAAGAAGAAGAAGAAGAAGAAGAAGAAGAAGAAGAAGAAGAAGAAGAAGAAGAAGAAGAAGAAGAAGAAGCATATAGATGATTATCAGAATGAAGGGCGGGAACAGAAGAAGAAGAAGAAGAAGAAGAAGAAGAAGAAGAATATAGATGATTATCAGAATGAAGGGCGGAAACAGAAGAAGAAGAAGAAGAAGAAGGAGAAGAAGAAAAAGAAGAAGAAGAAGAAGAAGAAGAAGCATATAGATGATTATCAGAATGAAGGGCGGGAACAGAAGAAGAAGAAGAAGAAGAAGAAGCATATAGATGATTATCAGAATGAAGGGCGGGAACAGAAGAAGAAGAAGAAGAAGAAGAAGAAGAAGAAGAAGAAGAAGCGGAAAGAAGAAGAAAAAGGAGAAGCAAAAGAAGAAGAAGAAGAAGAAGAAGAAGAAGAAGAATGAAGGGCGGAACAGAAGAAGAAGAAGAAGAAGAATGAAGGCCGGAAAAAGAAGAAGAAGCAAAAGAAGAAGAAGAAGAATATAGATGATTATCAGAATGAAGGGCGGGAACGGAAGAAGAAGAAGAAGAAGAAGAAAAGGAGAAAAAAAAAGAAGAAGAAGAAGAAGAAGAAGAAGAAGCATATAGATGAAGGGCAGGGAACGGAACGGAAGAAGAAGAAGAAGAAGAAGAAGAAGAAGAAGAAGAAAGAAGCTGAGAAAGAGAAAAAAAGAAGAAGAAGAAGAAGAAGAAGAAGCATATAGATGATTATCAGAATGAAGGGCGGAACAGAAGAAGAAGAAGAAGAAGAAGAAAGAAGCCGAAAAAAAAGGAGAGAAAGCAAAAAGAAGAAGAAGAAGAAGAAGAAGAAGCATATAGATGATTATCAGAATGAAGGGCGGAACAGAAGAAGAAGAAGAAGAAGAAAAGAAGCCGAGAAAAAAGGAGAGAAAGCAAAAGAAGAAGAAGAAGCATATAGATGATTATCAGAATGAAGGGCGGGAACGGAAGAAGAAGAAGAAGAAGAAGAAAGATGCTGAGAAAAAAGGAGAGAAAGCAAAAGAAGAAGAAGAAGAAGCATATAGATGATTATCAGAATGAAGGGCGGGAACGGAAGAAGAAGAAGAAGAAGAAAGATGCCGAAAAAAAAGGAGAGAAAGCAAAAGAAGAAGAAGAAGAAGAAGAAGAAGCATATAGATGATTATCAGAATGAAGGGCGGGAACGGAAGAAGAAGAAGAAGAAGAAGAAAGATGCCGAGAAAAAAAGGAGAGAAAGCAAAAGAAGAAGAAGAAGAAGAAGAAGCATATAGATGATTATCAGAATGAAGGGCGGGAACGAAGAAGAAGAAGAAGAAGAAGAAGAAGAAAGAAGCTGAGAAAAAAAAGAGAGAAAGCAAAAGAAGAGGAAGAAGAAGAAGAAGAAGCATATAGATGATTATCAGAATGAAGGCGGAACGGAAGAAGAAGAAGAAGAAGAAGAAAGAAGCCGAGAAAAAAGGAGAGAAAGCAAAAGAAGAAGAAGAAAAAGAAGAAGAAGAAGCATATAGATGATTATCAGAATGAAGGGCGGGAACAGAAGAAGAAGAAGAAGAAGAAGAAAGAAGCCGAGAAAAAAAGGAGAGAAAGCAAAAGAAGAAGAAGAAAAAGAAGAAGAAGAAGCATATAGATGATTATCAGAATGAAGGGCGGGAACAGAAGAAGAAGAAGAAGAAGAAGAAAGAAGCCGAGAAAAAAAGGAGAGAAAGCAAAAGAAGAAGAAGAAGAAGCATATAGATGATTATCAGAATGAAGGGCGGGAACGGAAGAAGAAGAAGAAGAAGAAGAAGAAGAAAGATGCCGAGAAAAAAAGGAGAGAAAGCAAAAGAAGAAGAAGAGGAAGAAGAAGCATATAGATGATTATCAGAATGAAGGGCGGGGAACGGAAGAAGAAGAAGAAGAAGAAAGAAGCTGAGAAAAAAGGAGAGAAAGCAAAAGAAGAAGAAGAAAAAAGAAGAAGAAGAAGCATATAGATGATTATCAGAATGAAGGGCGGAACGGAAGAAGAAGAAGAAGAAGAAGAAAGAAGCCGAGAAAAAGGAGAGAAAGCAAAAGAAGAAGAAGAAAAGAAGAAGAAGAAGCATATAGATGATTATCAGAATGAAGGGCGGGAAACAGAAGAAGAAGAAGAAGAAGAAAGAAGCCGAGAAAAAAGGGAGAAAGCAAAAGAAGAAGAAGAAAAAGAAGAAGAAGAAGCATATAGATGATTATCAGAATGAAGGGCGGGAACAGAAGAAGAAGAAGAAGAAGAAGAAAGAAGCTGAGAAAAAAGAGAGAAAGCAAAAGAAGAAGAAGAAGAAGAAGAAGAAGAAGCATATAGATGATTATCAGAATGAAGGGCGGGAACGGAAGAAGAAGAAAGAAGAAGAAAGATGCCGAGAAAAAAAGGAGAGAAAGCAAAAGAAGAAGAAGAAGAAGAAGCATATAGATGATTATCAGAATGAAGGGCGGGAACGGAAGAAGAAGAAGAAGAAGAAGAAGAAGAAGAAGAAGAAGAAGAAGAAGAAAGAAGCCGAGAAAAAAAGGAGAGAAAGCAAAAGAAGAAGAAGAAGAAGCATATAGATGATTATCAGAATGAAAGGTGGGAAAAGAAGAAGAAGAAGAAGAAGAAGAGGAAGAAGAAGAAGAAGAAGAAGCATATAGATGATTATCAGAATGAAGGGTGGGAACAGAAGAAGAAGAAGAAGAAGAAGAAGAAGAAGAAGAAGAAGAATATAGATGATTATCAGAATGAAGGGTGGATGAAGAAGAAGAAGAAGAAGAAGAAGAAGAAGAAGAAGAAGAAGAAGAAGAAAAAAAGAAGAAGGAGGAGGAGGACGAGGACGAGTAAAAGAGAAAAGACGAAGTTAAATAATAACAAGAATTTTAATCCTGATAGAAAGAAAGGTTGAAAAGTCAAAATGGGAAGATTTGCTATTGGAAAAAAAAGAAGAAAATCGCTGTGATGACAAGCACATTTAAAAAAAAAAAAAAAACTGATATGAACATATTCAAGGGGCTGGGTTATATAAAAGTTAAAGATCGACAAGGTGGCTTTAGAGACAGGTGGTAGGGTTGGGTAATCTACCTTGTTTCACTTTACTTGTGGTCTTGTCGTCATGGTAGCCGCCGGCATCTCCTTCTCTTCCACTTCCTCCCCTCCATCTTCCGGTGGCGGTAGGAGGCGCAGAATAAGGACGTCATAGCGGATAAAGGGGGATTCCATAAACAAGCTGCAAGCTTTTTGCCTGTCTCACTGCCTCACCAACACTTTCCAGCCTACCAGAGAGAGAGAGAGAGAGACCCGTTATCGCAGAGACGTTGAAACCATTGGAGCGTACAGTTAGCTCCTCGGGGCGAATCTCTTCTTATCAATCGTGGAGGGAACCAGAACAAAGTGACAAACAACATCGAAATGGTCATAAAAAGCTAGAGAAGTATGCACGCCGCATAATATTGGATAGTTAATCACTTTTCCCTAATTTATTTAGCTAGCTCTTCTCGCCTGAAGGCAGACAACGCAATCAGTGACACCTTTCGAGATTGTCACTGTCTAATAACAGTATTTAGTTAGCACTTGTATTATTATTTCTATCATTGTCAGCAACGTTATTGTTCTTGTTGCTTTTTTTCATCATTATTATCATTACTAGATTTATATATTATTCTTAATATTGATTTCATTATTATACCGTTCCTTGTAAAATTATTATCATAATTTATACTGTACTTTCGTTCTTTATAACATGAATGTCATACGAGTAACATAAAGACGTTATACAAAACTCTGATATCACAGTTTTGATTTCTTAAACCAATGCATTAAAAACATTGCTCGAATGATTTTTTTTTAATCTACTGTCTATCCAATGTAAGGCACAAGTGTCACTTAAGGTAGACGGTTACTGAATATAACTGTTTTATAAGCATAAGGAATATAACTTATACCGATATGTAGAATAGATAATGCTTTACCCTTGACTTGAAAAAGGTTACATTTTAGTGATCAGGGAACACCCACACGGGAGTGTGCTCCACAAAACTGCGGCGTTTGGGAAGAAGTTGTTCTCAAGGACATTAGCTGCAAACGTCTAAATTGGTGAAACTAAGAGCTGTAACATTTTCTATGAAAATAGCAACAGATATCTCCATCTCGAAAAATTTATAAATCTACAATTCGCCTGTGTATTAAATATTGCTACCATATCCGGCCTAGTGCTCCTGCTACACATCTCTAGATTCTTGACAAAATTCAAAGGGTTTGCAATTTAATCGATCCTGACCTGGCCTCTCGACTTCAGTCACATTCTCACCGACGGAACGTGGCTTCCCTCTGTCTTTTCTACAAATATGTTCAATGCAGTTGTTTTGATGAGCTTTCCACCACGGTGACTCGACAACATGAATGTAAGCGTGCTAGCAGATTGGCAGTTGGGTATCACTGTTTTACTGTTGCCCTACTTATATACCGAATGTTCTAGTCGTATAGTTTCTTTTCTCGCACTTCTCGCCTGTGGAACTACCTTCCGATTTCTGGCTTTCCTACCACCTAAAATATTCAAAAATGTTAAATGCAACCCCACTTGCCATCTTCCAATTGTTTTATTGTTCCTTTCTTCACGGGCTTACAGTCATAACACGTTGAAGCACCGGTTCTCGTACGATCAGCGAAGTTAAGTAACGTCGAGCCTGGTCAGTACCTAGATGGGTGAGCTCTTGGGAATAACAGGTGTTGTAAGCTTGGATGTGCGGGTGGTGTAATGGATAAAAAACTTGGAATAGGAAATCGAATTCCAATTTCAGCCGAGTTTGTTATATTCACTTACGCACAAATACCATTGAGAAAGGCATGAATCCATATCTTCTCCTCCCAGCTATGGTTTAAGTAATAGAATAATAGGTTCTGTGTCACTAAATCATTATTATCCTCCTCAAAATTCTTATAATCTAAAAATATTTTCAGGATTTAAATAACCTGCAAAGGGTTGATAAGCTATAAAAAACAAATCAATAAAAATGTCCTTTCTACTCACCAAACTCTTTCCGTTCTATTTCACTCTCAGTGATCCCTTGCGTCTTAGTGGCTTTGTCGCCTTGCTTGAGAAGCAATGATTTTAGAAAATGCAATGTGGTATCTTTGGGAAAGAGGTTGTAGATCGCAGGTTGTAAGTTGTATCCTCCTCAAAATTCTTATAATTTAAAAATATTTTCAGGATTTAAATAACCTGCAAAGGGTTGATAAACTGTAAAAAACAAATTAATAAAAATGTCCTTTCTCCTCACCAAACTCTTTCCATTCTCTTTCACTCTCAGTAATCCCTTGTGTCTTCGTGGCTTCGTCGCCATGCTTGAGATGAAATGATTTTTAAAACAAAACTTGCAAAGTTTTATCTGTGAAAAAGAGGGTGAAGGTCGGAAAATAATCAATCCCTCACAAGTCCGCGTAGACGTTTTTGAGCAATACTGCATTTATAGTCTGATCTGAATCTTGTAAAATCTGACAGTTGGAGTAGGGGTATTGTCTAATGCGATATAAGTAACTGGCTATTTTTTCATCTTCAGCGATGGAGCGTATATATCATTTTCACTTGATTTTCGTCATTGAGCTTGAGTCCTAATAGACACGTGACTTGATTATACATTTATTACTGTGCATCCTTTTTTTTGTTTTTCTGGTGTCTGGACTACGTGAATTTAAGCATGTTACTAGATTGGCGGCTAGGTCTCACCGCTTTAATGTTGAACTAGTTAGATTCAACCGTCGTTTCTACTCTAATAGTTTTTCTTCTCGTGTTACCCACCTGTGGGAGTCACTTCTGTTTTCTTGGTTCCCTGGTAACTACAATTTTCCGAAAATGAATTGCAACGTCAATCTCCATCTTCTGAAGCCTGTTCCTTTTTTGTACTTTCCTCAACTCTCCCCATATTCAATCTTCTCATTCACTTTCACTTCCTGTGGACTTCTACGTTCGAGTAGAGCCTGTTGCCTTGCTTAGGGTGAAATGATTAAAATACACACACACACACACACACACACACACACACATATATATATATATATATATATACCTGATGTAACAGCAAAATTGTCCAAATCATGTAACAGCAAAATTGTCCAAGTGTTAGATTAAGCTTTGAACCGTTGTATCTTAGAGATGATTAAAGATATCTTACTGGAATTCTCCGAGGTTTTTATAACACTATTGGACTCTACTTTGAACAATAAGAATGTATTTATCTCTAAGTTGAAATGATGACCCCTCTTCCTGTTTTTCCTATCTCTTTTTTAAACGTATTCACCGTTCTCTTGATGGTTCTTGAATGGGCTTTGAAGATGGAAGCGAAACTGTGTACGTTGGTACCATTACTGAAGGCCTGAATGATTTTTTCCTCTCACCATTGCTCAGTTGAGAAGACATAGTGCGGCTGACACAAAACGATTTAAATCTGTTCTCTTACTAGCTGAATAACTCAAACAGTTTTAAAGTGATTCTTCCGACAAATGGTGTTAAGAAGGCTAAGCGTCTGGAAAAAAGAAACCCTATTAGTTTAATGTTTTTTTTTAGATATTAAACATTATGTGGGATGGACAATTATCTCATACTGTTACAAGTTTCAGACGATTTTGCTGTTACACCCGCTAAATAGATAGATAGATAGATATGCTCCATAATTTAGAATGAGAAGTCAGTGTTCGAAATCCAGTCAAGATCGTTACTTTCACTAACGCGCAAATAGCATTGGAAAAGTTATGAATCCATCTTTTTTTTTTTACCTATGGGTTGAATAGCAGGACAGTTTACCGCAGAGAGAACCGGCAACCTACTGCAGGAAAATCTCCTGCCTAGTCAGTCATGAATCGAAAGAGACATGATCGCCCTAGCGTGTACCCCGTATGGCACTTAAATGACTGATGGAAAAATAAAAAATACTAATCTGTTGCATTACAGGATCGAATATATAAGTACTTTCCTTATTACTGTCTTCAGGTTTGACAACTATTCTTCCGGTCAGAGCCACTCCTTTCCTATACTGACAAACTAAATATTTATGATACTTCTAAAAGCATTACAGGCTAAGCACTGAAATTGTGATAAAATGGAGTGTTGCTGGTCATGCATAGATACGAAGGGTATTACATGTAAAGGTGTTGAAACGTGACTGAGGAGGCACGGTGTAGTAATGGATAGCGGCTTGGATTGAGGAATCGGAGAGCCGAGTTCGAATTCCAGTCGAATCCATTACATTCACTTACGTGCTAACACCCTTGGGAAAGGTGTTAATCCTCTTTTTTCTCCCTCCAGCTATGGGTAAATAGCAGGACAGACTGGGTTCTATAGCCTTGGATGGCAACTGGTCAAAACTCTGAATTCAAACCTGCTCTTAGAGGAGGGTGAATGGAGTCTCTCTGAGCCTTGGTTGGCAATCCATTTAGTGTTGGTGTCACGATAAAAACACCCTTGATAGCCCTAGCGAAGCATCAAGAATTCAGCTATTTGACAAGATTATGAAGTACACCAATCAAAGTATTAGCTATGACAGATAAGGATTACTGGAAAGGTGTAGTGAGTTCAATCTCGGCTGAGGCCGCAAGATGATGAAATGTGACACATTTCTTGATTTCAGACCATGATATCCTACTGATGTTGACCTCTACCAAATTTATTATACTACGCAGTTATCAATGACATGATATTTGCAAATAAAATCAAAATACGCATAACACTTTATGAAGTCAGTGATCAATTTGACACTGTATTTATATTGTGAACAGGGCTTCTCTTTTAAAATGAATTTTTTATATCAATATTTTTCGATTCAAACAAATGTCGGAAGAGAAAGGTCTGATGAAATCTAATCTACAGGATTCCTTTAAAATAAAATTCGTCCCTGTTATTGTTTGACGAGTGGACCAGTTAAATGACGTATTGACGCTCCGGTAAGTAAAAGCAAATCTATGGTAATGAACGAGATAATTATTGGCCTATCTTAATTCACCAATGTAAAACATTTAAATGTTAATAACTCCAATCATTTAAGATCAGAATCCATGAAAAATGCTTCGTGTAGCATCAAGGTATTTATTATTATACATATTTTTTTAATTATTGTTTCCTTCTATTTCTCTTGTATACTCATTTGCTTCCGGGTCTCAGTTAATACGGACCGGTCGTCAACATGTAAGTCAACGAAAGTTTCGCTTCCTTTTCTTTTTTCAGGCCATGATAGTAACGTTTATCTTTAAGCACTCAATAAAAATCCGAGGTAAGAAAAGTCCAAACACTTCTTGTATTTTCTAACAAAATTATCCCTATACTCATTACACACATTATATATATATATATATATATATATATATATATATATATATATATATAAAACATACGAGCAAAACTGTATACACTTTGCTTATTCTTCATCCATACTTGATCTACATTTGACCCCAATCCCACAATTTTACTTAGTATTAATGTCTCTCGTATCTCCAACATTACATAACCACCAGATAATAAATAATACCTGTTTTGCTGTTTTCGCATTTTGCTGTTTCGTATTTTTACGTGTATAGATAAATATTCGGGGTTTTATAATTATTTACTCAGAGTTATAACTCCCATACAGACATTAAAATAGAACTATCTAAGTGCGCGCAAATTTTACATCGATAAAAGCCCTTCGTAAGGTGTGACCTGTACTTGTAAGAATCTTTTTTTTGTGTTTCTTTAAGGCATGAGCTACCAGGAATAATCTCAGTTTATCTCTCAGAACCTTTTCCAGTCAAACCCAACAAGGACTGGAATTATTGATGTCTCCACGTGACATACTTTTTGAAATTTACACTTCAAGATCCTTGTATTTTGATAGTTTGTTTTGAAGATCTTCAAATTTACATTACAGACTGTAGGAATTGCCATGTCAGTAAAAAAAGCAAATTCTATTTTCGTGTTCTTTGATCACAATATCTTGGTAATTATCTTTTATTGTTCTGTTAATGATAAATCCCATAAAACTGCTACAAGTCCTATGTCTGTAACCACGACTGGCTGGTTTTCATACCAATATTTTGCAATTATTATTATTATTATTATTATTATTAGTTTCATGTTTCCTGTTTAGTATTGGGTTTCCGCTTGTTCATAAAGTTTTCTCAATTTCTTTCACCCCCAGTAGCCCCTTGCGTCTTAACGTCATTATCGCCTTGCTTGGGGTGAATTGATTAAAAAATAAGAAAAAAAAGTAAAGTGAAATATTTCATTATACTTTCCGAATTATTGAGATGGTTGTGGGTCTTCGATGTCTAATTTAAAATAATTCCAGAATCTCAGAATTTTCATTAGCCATTATAACAACTGAACAAAAAAGTAGTAATAATGAAATTAATAAAAATGTTGAATTAGACAAACTTTCAAAATGTAAGTATTTGGATGCATAAACTGGAAAAAATTTAAGCACATCACAATATCGGTTATGTTTAAATTTCTGCAATAATGACCTTAAGACGCAAGGGGCTACTTGGAGTGAAAAACAATGACTAAAATGAACCTAAAACACAATTCTAAACAGGAAACAAAGGATAAACCCTTCACTGGTTCAAAAGACAGAAGCGGGTGGAGTACGGACCAGATGATAGACGTTCCTATCTACTCCTATTAACAAATATTAATTTAAACAATTTCAGCTTAGTGACTTGAAACTTTAAATAAATGTCAAATAAACTTCCTACTATCAATTGCTAATT